ATTGTCTTAAGTTTTGACTGAACCAATCACAAATAACATCACAAAAAGTGACGTCATATGTGATTGGCTAAGCAAAAACTTACCAGGTAAGTCTAAGATTGTTTCATGATTATGGGGCCTGTAGATATTTACTAGTCTTGTTTAACTATTACTTCGAGATCTGGCGGTAGAGAAAATCGCAACCTATTTCAGAGGAATAATGGTGACCTCCCAGAAAAGTTTGATCATCAACACGAAATTCCTGTGTTTTTGGAAGTTTTCGAAAGGCGTAATACTACTAGTCAATGCATCAATCTAATGGATTCTGATTTAAGATACTATCATTTTTAGAAGTCTAGGGACTAGTTGGGTAGTCCTTGTTCTAATCTAATAGTCTTGGACTACAAGACAAAGGTTAATGTCAAACCCTGGCCACGTGCACACAAATACATGTATAATGGTTTACAGATTTGAGCAACATACAATTCTGTGATGGGACACAGATAATTCAAATGTACTTTTATAAAGCATGCTCACTGACCTTGTGATCACTAAACCTGACCCTGAAATAAAGTATTTTATTGATGCTCAGCTTAATTAGGCTTGCTTTACCTGCATTTTACTTATCAACAGATTACTGACCACAAGCTGAGGTAAACAAAACAGCAATTGGTTTACCACACTATCTAGAGTCTACAAAATGTGTTAGCATGACCCCTTATCGCTGTAAAAAAACTTGAGAAAGATTAGAGGGGAGGTTAATATATGAACTTATATAGCTCCTCTTCAATTCATATTTAAATTTTAACTAGTATCATACAATTGGCATGAACATTCTCTGTCATTCTCACTTCACTACATGCTCCCCACTCCAATAGCACTTTAGAGACAACTGATCCCTGTACCTCCTGTCCCGGTCCCTCTTCCTCTGTACATATAAACCTTCTACTTCTTGTAGCCGCCCCCCCCCCCCCCCCCCCCCATCAGTACTTATACCTCGCCTCACCCCACTAAGTGACAAGACAAGAGGTTTTCTTGCAGTCTCATCCCCTACTACAGTACTAGTACACACATATCTCATACCTCCTGCCTCAAACCCCCTATGTAAGACAAGGGATCCCTATAGCCCCCTCCCTACCCCTCCTCCCCATGAGGCAAGACATAAGATAACCTTGCAAAGCCCATCCAATTTCTCAGTACATAGACCTCCTGCCCCTTGCCCTACCCCACTTAAAGGCAAAACAAGAGGCCTTGAAGCACCCTCCCCTTCCTCAAGTTAATCCCTATAACCCCAACTACTTTCTCTAAATCAGTTCACCCTAACCTCACATTCCTCGCCCCACCCCACAAAGAGACACGACACAAGGTTACAATTTTGTACCCCCTTCTGAGTACACTCTCATGTCCACCCCACCCCTCCCCTTTAGACAAACAGATCACTGAATTACACAGTCTCCCTCCCCTACCCCAGTACACACACACCTCCCATAGCAGACTGCCAACTGGTAATGTCATTTGTTTTTAGTGGACTAGTTTCAACAGGTATCACATGGAAACAATTACTGCTTCAACAGAATGATGCCACACGGTACATAGTGCTAAACTATCACTGAGTGCTACAGGGAAATCAAGCCTGGAGGAAAGACACTTGCATCAAAAGCAATCTTTCAAAATAAATAGATGATTTTCACATCGTCAAATTTAAAGATGCGTTACAATCACTGTAATATACACGTTTTCTACATGCGTAAAACACTTTTTTATTTTTTTACTTCCTCATATTTTTGGATGCTTACCAGTTCAGTAGAATATGTTACAAGCAGCTGATCTAAACAATGTAGGTTTCTAAGGTGTAAATCTGTTATTACAGTGGCATTTTGCCATTTCTAACGCCTTGTACGTACATGAACAGCAGAAATCTTGTCAGAAACAATTCTGACAGGCAAGAATATTTCAAATTGAGGCTTTTCACTAATACATTAAACATGGGGGCAAAATCCTGACGGGGAAAACAAGAGGCCCAATGGGCCTGCATCGCTCACCTGGTATTAATCTCATACTTGTAATCTTAAAAGTGGACTAAAATACAGCTACAGGCAGAATATCAGTGTTTGATTCAAAAGAACCTGTTAAAAGATTTAAATATATGACGCCTGTGACCTTGAATGTCGAACAAGGACATTAGGATGAAAGTGGGTCAAGGTCATTCATTTGACGAACTTGGTAGCCCTTCATCCTAACAAGTTACAGGCCCAATATCAGTACCCTGGGCCTTTTGGTTATTGAGAAGAATTTGTTTGAAGATTTTACAACATTTTACCCCTGTGACCTTAAAAGTAGGTCAAGGTCATTTTATTGACCAACTTGGTAGCCCATTATCCCAGCATGCTACAGTCCCAATATCAGTACCCTAGGCCTTTTGGTTATTGAGAAGAAGTCGTTTGAAGATTTTAACACTTTTGACCCCTTTGACCTTGAAAGTGGGTCAAGGTCATTCATTTGAACAAACTTGGTAGTCCTTCATCCCAGCATGCCACAAGCCAAATTTCAGTACCCTGAGTCTTTTGGTTGAGAAGAAGTCGTTTAAAGATTTAAAGAAATTTGACCCCTGTGACCTTGAAAGTTGGTCAAGGTCATTCATTTGAACAAACTTGGGAGCCCTTCATCCCAGCATGCCACAGGCCAAATTTCAGTACCCTGAGTCTTTTGGTTGAGAAGAAGTCGTTTAAAGACTTAAAGAAATTTGACCCCTGTGACCTTGAAAGTTGGGCAAGGTCATTCATTTGAACAAACTTGGGAGCCCTTCATCCCAGCATGCTACAGGCCCAATATCAGTACCCTTGGCTTTTTGGTTATTGAAAAGAAGGATTGTTGGAAGTGGTTTAAAGACATTTGACCCCTTTGACCTTGAAAGTTGGTCAAGGTCATTCTTTTGAACAAACTTGGTAGCCCTTCATCCGAGCATGCTACTGGCCAAATATCATCACCCTAGGCCATTCGGTTATTGAGAAGAAGTTGATTAAAGTAAAATATTGACGCCGGACGGCGGACGGATGGATGGACGACAGACGCCGCACCACGGCATAAGCTCACTTGGCCCTTCGGGCCAGGTGAGCACACATAGTACTTCTACCTTGCTTGCCTGTGTACAATTAAATTTCAACAGTTTAAAAATATATCTGGAGAAATGATGATCAACAGTTTAAAATCTAACCCAACAAGACCCACTATAATTGAGATAGATTTCTTCACCAGCAGCAGAGGTTATCCAAGTTCTTTTTATCAATACTCAAATTGATATAGCAGCTAATTTGTAGATCAATTTCTACGACTGAGTTTTAGATTAATGACAATCACCTTTGTCTTGTATATCTTTGTGTCGGTTAGATTATTATGTTAATCTTTACATTCACACCCAAATAATTATATTACAGTATCAATTGGTGTTCTACATCCAGTGCTTCAAGAAAATTGAATACCTTAGTTACTTTTTCTCTAACAAAGACATTTTTTGCACCAGGAAATAAAATGTAACATTTTTTAGTGGAGGTAATTTATCAATTATTTTAATCAAATTGAGGTGTGATACAACTACAGTAATTAGCTAAATATACCCCCTTTCAGCAGAAACAGTATAGCGTGGCTGCATGCAGTGTCTATCGTCTCCTATGTACACTGTAATGAACATGAAATTCTGACACAAATTCTGCCTCTGACAAACTGGGCTTCCTACCAATGAAATGTCATTATACACACATATTAATGATATGTATGTTAACTACATATGTGTATACGTGAAAGATCTATTCCACTTAATTAAGTTTTGTCATCTTAGAATTTCTGAAAGAAATATTCCGCCATTTTCACTATTCCCGCTTTAATCACCAAGTCATCCCCAGAAAACCCAAAGAAAACTTAAATGAACTGAAAGAAAAAGTATTTTTGCATAATTTACAGATTCTAAGAAAAACATGTTAAAATTTGTTATTGTATATTTTTATTGCTGATGAGGTATATATAGTTTTTCATCTTACATATCAATGACATACATTTTTCAAATAACTAGGTAGGAATTTTTTTTCAAATTAAAATTTTATTATGTTTTCTGCCTTTAAGATTTCCCAAGATGGTTCAGCAAGCGAATAAATTGAGGCAAGAATTGTGAAAATAAGTTTAAGATTTCATTTCAAATCTCAATAACTAAGAAAACAAATGAGGGATTTTCATTTACTGAGTGTGCTATTTGAGTTCAACTTGAAACTATAAATGTGTGGTAATCTTGCTGTATCATCTAAAATAGTGATAAATGATCTGATATCTACAGTATCTCTATGTAGTCAGACACTGGTGTTATCATTGGTCAATATTTACATCTAAATATAAACGTAGGTTACTACATGTACTGTACATGTTATCAATTTCTTTTGTTTGTTATTATATAAGTAGTCCTAATCTCAAATTACACAAAGTCAATAACAGATTGAAATTTGATAGCCTAATTTGATGAAAGAGAAAAACAGCATGAAAACCGCTAATAACAAAGTCAGATATTAAAATTACACAATCTATAATAAATACATTTGATATCAATACAACATCAATTATAAAAGGCATTTAATTAAGTCACTATTTTTTTTTTTATTTTCATCGTCAAACCATTTTTCTTCCTATTTCGTGAAAACGAAGAGTAATGATTGAAAACAACTTTGATTGCATGTAGTTCTGTATCTACATTGAAAATAACATATACTATTAAAAGTAAGACAATATATGAGATTGTCATATTTGCAGTATAAGGCCATAAAGTATGTTCAGGATCTACTCTTATATGCCTCGGCATGCTTCATTTTCCAATCCGTCTTTTCCGTACCTATACCAAACACATTGATTTGAGATTGATGCTTCAGATGAAATTTACATGAAAATTAATATCATGCGAATGACATAAAAATCTTCTACATGTACTTGTATATGTAACGCCATACCGAGTATATACACATAGCATGCTGTAATCTACCTACCATGTTTGTTATGTCAGATATTGTTTTCATGGGGTTCTGTTGGTATCCTCTTGAGTCAGTGTGTAGTTTCATTTCCTTCTATACTTGAACATTGGCTCGTGTTGGTGTTACTGCAAAGAGGAGAGGAGGTTTTCAGGACCCGTGTTTACGTAACAAAGAGTATATAATGTGGGTTACAGACAGAAGAACACATGTTTACGCTACAGTAAATGGGTTACATATACACATATTGTAAATAATCAAAAGTGGGTGTAAACACTTGGAATATATGTAACTCGGTTACAGATATACAGGTGATAGCTATAGGTACCGGTTAGGACCAGTACAGGTAGATATATATACTGTACCAGAATGGTGGAGTGAATGACAGAAATGGGATAGCTGTGTACATTTCAGTATAACTACCTCACTTATGAATATATATCTTATCATTATTTGAGTTAAACCTTGATAATCTGGAGCCTCATGAGCTTTTAAACACAGTCCTGAACTTACTGATGACCTATATAGACCCAAACTGTGGATCTAGCTTAAAACTGCAAGGAAATGTTTGCACATGAACGTCCATTATGGAGTTAACCTTACATTAGGTCTTCATGTTCACCTGCTTTAATAATTTTGGAATATCTTTGCTCCTTATATAATTATATTATGAAGTCATCTTATATAACAATATGGCATATTGAATAACAACAAAGCAAATTATCAAATTGACACTTCAGTCCCTGTAGACACGTACATAGGGTTTCACCTATTTCTGGATTAACAGTATTACCACTAGGAAGAATATGTAATAATCAATTTCCAATTTACATGCAACCATATACTATATGAAAATCTTCTGTGAACAATGCAGAACTATTCTTCACCTGTATATACCATGTTTATTAAACCCTATATTAACAGTGATACAACCAGTTTTATTACAAATTAATATTGCTTAAACTTATTACCCTGGTATATGGTGATATAGCTGGATTCAAGGCCGTGTAATACAAGGTTTCAGATACAGCATATATACATGTAGGTGACAATATTACAATGTGGTATGATACTTGTGGTCAAATCTGCAGCAGATGCTGTTGTCTGTTGATACTGTATACTGGGAAATTTCACCCGCGTCAAACATTCGCACTTCGCCAGAATGATCCATACTTGCACAGTGTTTATTTCCCCATCACATTTAAATACTATGCATATTATGTTGTCTACTAACATTCGCTGTAATGATAAATTGGCCCTAATTTCAGAGGGCGAAAAAAGGCCAAAATTAAACTGCAGCAATAACAATGTATGTACATTGATCAGATTGACATTTTGATTTCCTAACATTTTGTCACCATTCCATGTATTGGTATAATGTTATGTCATTATTCTATCCTTGATGTTGTTTTGTTATCAGCTCATTGTTGTTCTGACAAGAGCTTATGGGAAGCAAATAGGATGTTAATCTGGGATAATTCTGCCATAATCCTCTGTAATGTTATGTAGAAATTATGACATGTATTTAAAAAACATACAATTGTAGGCATGTAATAATCAAACACTGTGTCAAGTTTTTATCTGACATCACAGAATAGTTTAAAGAGAAAACACTTGTTTGTGGTGAATGGTCATACAAACCCACTTGTGTATTTGTGAAAGTATTCGTCTGCACAATAAACTTACAAGTGCTATCTACAACATCAGATCAGAACATAGTGGAATGCATTTATAATACCTGTATTATGTATACCATGGAACACACGTAAAACACAACTACAAAGTTAATCCAAGCTGGCTTTTTTTCTGTATCACATAACATCGTAGATAATATTCGGTTGTTCTCTAGAACTTACAGTCCAATATATTCAGATTCCATCTGAATTGTAACTTGATACCTGGATAACAATAACATATAGTACTTCTACCTAAATTGTAACTTGGTACCTGGATAACAATGACACATAGTACTTCTACCTAAATTGTAACTTGGTACCTGGATAACAATGACATATAGTACATCTACCTGAATTGTAATTTTATACCTGGATAACAATGACATATAGTATATCTACCTGGATTGTAACTTGATACCTGGATAACAATGACATACAATGTATAGTACATCTACCTGAATTGTAACTTGATACCTGGATAACAATGACATATAGTATATCTACCTTAATTGTACTTTATACCTGGATAACAATGACATATAGTATATCTACCTTAATTGTACTTTATACCTGGATAACAATGACATATAGTATATCTACCTTAATTGTACTTTATACCTGGATAACAATGATATTTAGTATATCTACCTGAATTGTAACTTGATACCTGGATAACAATGACACATAGTATATCTACCTTAATTGTACTTTATACCTGGATAACAATATCACATAGTATATCTACCTGTATTGTAACTTGATACCTGGATAACAATGACACATATAGTACATCAAAGTAAATTGAAACTTGGTACCTGGATAACGATTCCACATAGTACTTCTACCTGTATTGTAACTTGATACCTGGAAAACAATTCCACATAGTACTTCTACCTGTATTGTAACTTGGTACCTGGATAACGATTCCAAATAGTACTTCTACCTGTATTGTAACTTGATACCTGGATAACAATGACCCATATAGTACATCAAAGTAAATTGAAACTTGGTACCTGGATAACGATTCCACATAGTACTTCTAACTGTATTGTAACTTGATACCTGGATAACGATTCCACATAGTACTTCTACCTGTATTGTAACTTGATACCTGGATAACGATTCCACATAGTATTTCTACCTGTATTGTAACTTCATACCTGGATAACAACTCTGCCATCATGTATGTATATTATGCTCAATATGATCACTAAAAGGATTGTTTTGAATAAAAATAATAAATTTTCACATGTAAAATCTTTTGAGAGATGGATCAATATTACAGATCAAGTGCAGGTTGCATGACCTGTCTGCGTGTGTCAGTGATCAGACAGCACTGACTGTACACACTGGACCTGTTAACAAGTGCACACACAAAACATGTGAATATTTCATCACCATTGTTTTATTTACAGCCATGCTTGTTTTAATGATGTCTGTACTGAGCCTATAGCTTTGGTCTGGTCACCCCATGCCAGTGTACAGTACACTGTTTGTGTGTATTGGCTTTTAACCGAGATTTCTAAATGTAGATCAGGGATTAAGTTACCTGCATGTTTGAACACGGGGCACTTGGGGGCACTCGTTTCCAGCTGACTGCTCTCCTTGCCCAACACCTTTGTTGACAAGATTAGAGCAGCAGAGGTATACTACACTTTTACGTACTATATTTGTTACAGCTTAGCACTCTCAGTGATATTGACTCTACGATGATATCTTACTATTACACGACGTGATATTAAATTTTGAATAATAAAATGCAATGCATTATTGCACACTAGTAATAAATATCAAGTAATATTCCCGCAGGTTTTGAATAATTTACAAATAGCAAAGTTGAATGTTACAAAAAAAATAATCTTGCACTCTTAAAATCATGACCTTGACAAATTATTATAAATATCACGGAATTTATTCGATCAATATATGCGTATACAAATGTACCTTTTAATATCAACAACACTTGGTTTGTGGAATTCAAATTCATACCTTATTAAATATACAAACATGTTATGTATTGTATTCACCTCAAAACTGACAGCTGAATGTGTCTATATATACACACATCTATTCAATCCTTTAACCGATCAATTGTAAGCACAAACAGCTTATCTACAAAATTAAGTGCTTGGTCTGAAGTTTATAAAAGATTTACATTTCATATTGTGAAAAACTAGAACACTTTGATATATACAGGTCAGAAAGGGCACCAGAAAATGCATATAAATATATAGCAGACAGGTAAATGACAGTAGTATATATATGAGGTATTCAAACAGAAAGTGGAAAACAATTAAGGCAGCAGCATGCAGAGATCACTTATAAACCAGTTAGAAATCAGCAATAGAAACAAAATGACTTCTGAAAATTTGACTTATTACCTGGATATTATGATGTTAATTTGTTTTCCTAACAGCTATATTCATGACACTATTTAAAAGATACTAAGGTCAGATTTCCTTCAATGATGATAATTCATAAACATGTGGAGATTATATTGACAGACATTAGGCTTTATTTTCAGTTAAACAGCAACCTTGACCCTTGACCTTCATTGTATATCCTGCCCCCCCCCCCCCCCCAGACACCCTTCCCCAATCAAAATCAAATTCCCCCCAATAATGATCATATGTACTTATGGATGGAAATTTTGAAAAGCCATCAGGCTATGAGATCTCATGTTATCATCTAGATTAGAAAGATTTTTTGAAGAATCCTTGGCCAACTGCAGGCTAACACTCGAGAATTTCACTACAGATGTACACAATGTATACGTTACCTCCCTTTAGTTTCAGTTTTGATGTACAGTAACTGTGGTGGGATTAATTGGGCCTGGGATTTATCGCCAATCAGGCAGTCCAATGGGTTATATATATTAGCATGACTGTATTGTGATCACAGGTCCAGGGTTTGAATCCTGGTTTGACTTTGATGCATTTTTAGAATCTTCTCAAATCACAATAGTTGGTTTTATTTTTTACTTTATCTGTGTATATATACCTTTTTCATTTAAGTTCCCAGAGGTTACAGTTTCTTTCCAGAAATAATTCATTAATGTTATCTTCATGCAGGTAAAAAGTTTTTGATTTGTATAGCTACAGTTCTTAGCAGTGGTACAGAATAACCTGCTGCATATTAAATATAAAATCAAATGCTCAGCAGATCTAGACTTGCAATAATGTTAAATGTCTTCTATTCTAGTGTGTATCAACTGTTTCACTTCTTATTTGTTAGTCTTTCTATGTTTAAAGGTATGCATATCTCTACAAAATTACACAAATCTAACCAATAGCAGTAAGCTTTTCAGTGAATGTTCAATTCTATCAATTCACTTTTAAATATTTTTTCAATTTTCAAAAAAAGTCTTAATATTTGATGGCCTAGTATAAAATCGGTTGCCTTGAGATATACTGATTCTATATTGACCTTGTGTTCTAACTTACCTTGTGTACAGGAGAAGAGAAGGCTGACTAGTTATGGCTGCTTCAGTGACCTACAGGACAGTATGCGTAGTCCCAACATCCAGACCAATCAATAAATCCAGACACTTTGCCACCAAATCTGCCAACAATTAGAAACAGTTTTAGGTGGACCAATATATCCCGAACAAACATCTATATTCCCTCTGCTGTACTGCCTGTCTGACCATTGTCTATAGCTCTACATATTCACCACGCTGGCGATCTGTCTGATCAGTGCCTGTCACCATTAATATCGGTAATATGGCCAGATATTAACTATGAGTTGTTGATAAAGTACCGTAAATGTCAGGCACACCAACAGCTGAACTTCCACCAAGTCCTAGCTGGGTGTACAGCTTCTTCAAATCATAGGATATAGGATATCGATATATACACTGAGTCAACAGCAGATTTCTACCATTTATAAGATGTATACACTGTACAATATTAAACTTCTACCATTTATAGGATATATACACTGTATCAACAGCAAACCTCTACCATTTATAGGATATTCACTTAGTCAGCAGTAAACTTCTACCATTTATAGGATATACACCGAGGCAACAGTAAACCTCTACCATTTATAGGATATGTACACGAAGTCAACAGTAAACCTCTACCATTTATAGGATGTACACTGAGTCAACACAGTTCACCTCTACCATTTATAGGATATACACTGAGTCAACAGTAAACCTCTACCATTTATAGGATATACACTGAGTCAACAGGAAAACTCAACCATTTATAGGATATACACCGAGTTAACAGGAAAACTCAACCATTTATAGGATATACACTTAGTCAACACAGTACACCTCTACCATTTATAGTATATACACTGAGTCAACAGTAAACCTCTACCACTTATAGTATATACACTGAGTCAACACAGTAAACCTCTACCATTTATAGTATATACACTGAGTCAACAGTAAACCTCTACCATTTATAGTATATACACCGAGTCAACAGTAAACCTCTACCACTTATAGTATATACACTGAGTCAACAGGAAAACTCAACCATTTATAGGATATACACCGAGTCAACAGTAAACCTCTACCATTTATAGGATATATACACCGAGTCAACACAGTACATCTTTATCGCTTATAGGATATACACTGAGTCAACACAGTAAACCTCTACCATTTATCGGATATACACCGAGTCAACAGTAAACCTCTACTATTCATAGGATATTTCCTATACACCGAGTTGACAGTAAACTTCTACCATTGATATATTTTCATATAAATATTTCAAATGAAATGTACATAAAATGTATGGTACACTTTACTTTCATATGATCCAATTTCTAGTATACATGTATATCTTGGTAAATCATTAAAACATTTTTTTCTCTCAGCTTTTTGGAATTTGAACAAAGTCTTATCCATTTTTATATATATATATATATGCATGTACTGGTTAATATTTTTCATTAGGCAAATGATGGTCAATTTAAATGATATTCTGAATTACTGTGAACCACACTAAAATCCAAGATTAATTTAAAATCACTCAAGATTTGATAACGAATGTTATCTACACATAATATAACAAGACTCTGACACTTCATGTACTTTAAATTCTAATTAATTTTGTTTCAACAAAAACTATAAGTAAGAAAATGCTTTTTTGACATGTTATATTTGACGACAAATATAGCCACTAAATGAAAATGATTGATCATGAAGAGAAAAACTTTGATGATTTCCAACCATATTTGCATTTATTATCAAAGAACATAAGTTTGGTTTTAGGGTTTTCCTGATGATTGATTAATCAATATATATATATATATATATGAAAATGTTCCAAGGTGACGGCGATGACAATACAAAATGTGTTTGTAGGTATGAATAATGCAAGATAGGTACAGTACGTAACAACAAACCTCATCTGCATATATATAGTCTTGGTGAATAACTGTAGCAACCATGGGATTAGAAAATACATGTAATGTTCAATTCATCAACACACAAAAAATACATGTGACGATACCAGTATAAAATGCATATACATTTATGTATATAAACAACCCTGCTTTGATCAACTATATACCGTAAACATTTACAGCCCATCTTACGGAACCCACATGTTACAAGCATGTGCACATCTGATAATCTTAACAAAAGTGCAAGTCCAATATACAGTTGTATTTTTATTTGTATATATATCATATGGGTGTTACATGTAAAGGCATATACAGGAAAAGCCTAAATACAAAAAGAGAACCTCATTAATATATAAACGTTCCGTATAATGTTTACAGTGTTCATGGCCCCATAGATAGATGTTGTTGATATGTGATAAGTGGCTTTGAATGACTTCCAATCTCAAGCTGGACCACATCCAACTTAACAAAGGGTCTGCACTAAACCAATTTGCCAACAGTTACTTATTATAATGCTATGCTCCAAATCATCATTGAAACACTTAATAATGTGCTTCAATTCTTGTGTCTATAGCTAAACTAATTCAGTCTTGTGCCTCGGCCAGTTACCTAATATTGATTTCTGAGTCCAGCTACCTAAATTTTGCGTCAAGCAAAATGTTTTCTTTACAAATAAAACTGAATAAAACATCCTTATTCAATTTCAAATAATGCTGCATTGTTCTCCAAGTACAATCTGGAATGTATTTTTTTTCCATTTGGGATTCAAAATGTTGAAGAAAATATGAAAAAGATCAGAGAAGTTGTTTGATCTATGAGAATCAAGCTGAAATTGTGTCCACTAAAACGAAAGTCCTTTAATAATGATTTAGTGAGAGTGTTATATCTAGACCGACTTCAATTAAATCATACAGTATAAGTACTTATTTCTATCTTTTTGTTCCTCTTTTC